CTTGCGTCCTTCCCCACTGTGGCCGATCTTGCCACTCACCTCTACGCACTTGAGACTAGCTACCGCACCGCTAGCACTGAGGCTTAGCTCACTGCCTTTCCGCTGCCGCTTTGTGCTACCCTCTACCTCATTGCCACGCGTCTTCCAGACCGCCTAGCCACTGCCTGCGACCACTTCCTTAGTCAGCACCCAGGTGACCTCACCCTTACCGCCTTTGTCACCGCCCTGTCTGAGATAGAGACCCGCCTGCGCACTATCGCTCAGTCTAGCGGTACTGCGGCGGTCCCTGTCTTTCAGGGATGTGCTCCCTCCCACTGCACTTACCCTGACGTCTCTGCTGCTGTCGCTGAGACAGCCTTTGCTGCTGAGACTTTTCTTGCGGCCTCAACGCATCCGCGTCAGGCTAGGGGCCGCCGCCCCAAGGGGGGGGTGTGGTAGCAGGAAGGGTGGTGGGGGTGGTGGGGATGGGGGTGGTAGTGGGGGGTGGCGGTGGTTCCGACGAGGGGACTGGGCCTGGTGCCTCGGAGCAGAAGCAGCAGCAACAGTGGGGCCGCCTCCCGCCGAGTTGGCTCGGTGCCTCTGGTGGTGGTGGCCGAGGTGGCGGCCCTCGCAGCTCGACGTTGGGTGGCAGTTTCGGCGCTGTGGGTTGCCAGTACCAGCTCCAGACCGGCCCCTTCCGTGGCACTGTGTATGGTCGTACCAGTCACTCTGCCACTCGGTGCTTCCGCCGCCTCGTTGATCTCTTCCGTCTCCACTTCAGCCCTGCACAAGACCTTCCCAACTGGCCTAGTCTCGTGCGTCATCGTGTGCCTGTCTTTGAGATGGATATGGATTAGCTTTGCTCTGCCTTGCATGCCATGTAAGTTGATGACTCTAGTTGTGACTAGACTTTATTACCTTGTGTTGCCTAGTTTAGGTGTGCCTCCTGTGTGTAGTCTAGGCTCCCCTGCTGCGTCAGGCATAGGACCTTCTGCCTTGTTTAGCCTAGGCTCAACGCTAGACCCTCCGCCGGCTGCCGCTATCGCTTTGCTCTCGTTCACGCTTGAATCTGGTGCATCTGCGTGCTTCTTCCACGACCACATTGCACTCCCGCCGCTTGCCGCTCCTGCTGCTGTCGTGCTTGCTGACCCCTTCTCAGGTCCGGTAGTTGCCTGTAGCTTCACGACGCTTCCCTGTTCGGCGGTTCTTTTGGCTCCCTTACAATTCTGCACATCCCCTCGTTCTCCAGGAACCTAGTTGGTGTCGGCTGTCTTCAGGACCTCGGCGTCCCCACTACGTTCCCTGGCCACGAGCGGTACGCAGTCTATACCGAGGCCACCACAAGTGCCCCCTCACCACGTTCCCCAAGGACCTGGTGTCTGGCCAGTCTACGCTCAACACCGAGTCCTGTTTGGTGAGGGCATCCCCAAGGTGCCTGCACCTACCCAGATTGCTGCGGCTTGCTTGTGTCGGTCGCTCACTCACCGTCGCTTCTGTGGCACCGCCGCCAAGGTCACCCCGCACTCCTGCGTCTGTGTCACATGTCCCAGCACGGTCTTCTCCTAGGTCTTCCTGCATCGCTCCCTGCCCTCCCTCCCTCGCTTGCGCCGACGTGCACGCCCTACGTCGAGGGCCAGCTGCGCCGTGCTCCTCAATCCTCCTCGCTTCGCCCTGCCATGGTGCCACTCCAGACCTTGCACCTAGACGTCTGGGGCCCAGCCCCTGTCCCTGGGCCTTGTCGAGAGCGCTACTTTCTAGTGCTTGTCGACGACTACACGCGCTACACCACGGTGTTTCCCCTGGAATGGAAGGTCGACGTGCCTGACGTTCTTATCCGTGGGTCGTAGCTGCGCGCGTCCACCGCGGTCTCCCAGTGCTGTGTCTCCACTCCGACCGCAGCGGTGAGTTCACCTCTGGTCGGCTTGGACAATTCTGTCGTGCGGAGCCCATCACCCAGTCGTACATCTTACCGGACTCCGAACAACAAAATTGGGTCGCTGAGCGACGCATCGGTTTGGTCATGGAGGTGGCTCGTACCTCCATGATCCATACCGGTGCACCCGATTTTCTGTGGCCGTTCGCTGTTCGCTACGTCGCTCACCAGCTTAATATGTAGCCGTACTCCCAGCGGCCGCAGGTTTCGTAGACCCTTCTCTGGACCGGGTTACTTGGAGATGCCTCTACGGACCACGTCTGGGGTTGCCTTGCTCACGTTTGTGCCTCTGGCACGGACAAGCTCACTGCCCCCACTGTCCCCTGTGTCTTCCTTGGTTTCCCCCTCGACTTGTCTAACTGGCACTTTTACGACCTCGCAGTCTCACCGCTTCCTTCACTCGTGTGACATGACTTTTTATGAGTTTGTCTCCTTCTACCACCGCTTTCCCCACCGAGGTCTCCCGGTTTCCCCGCCCCTGTTTCTGGTTCCCACTCCCCCGGTAGCCCCTCCTCTCCCCCCTCCCCGTCTTGCTCAGTCTGGTGTGTCTCACGTCACTCCCCTCCGTTCGGTTGTCCCGATTGAGGAGTCGGCTGACTCTGGTGGCCCTGTGATGCAGTTCTCGCCGTCTCTTTCTGCCCCGGTGTCTCCTTCTCCGCCATCGCAGCAGCCGCTGTCATCGCTGCCGCCGCAGCAGCAGCAACTGTCTGTGGGCTCTGAGGGTGCGGGCGTCGAGGCGGGTGCTAGTTCTGGTATTTCTGTCGTGGCTTGTTCCGGCGGTCCTGGGGTGGCACCAGTGTTGAAGAGGGTTCTCATACTAGGGGTGCTGGTTCTGGGGGTGCTAGTTCTTGGGTTACTATCGTGGCTTGTCCCGGCTGTCTTGGAGGTGGCACCGGTGCTGGAGGGGGGTCTCGCTCTGGGGGTGCCGGAGTGGAGCATTGCGGAGGTAGTCGTGGTTCAGTTGGAGGTTCTGGTGTCGGCATGGAGCAGGAGCAGCAGCAGTCGCCGCCGGTGTCAGCCCTTCGCCTACTCGGCCTTCCCTCCCCTGACCACCCGCCTCCCCTGCCTGTCTACGGCCCTGTCTTTTTCTCCGCCTGACTCGTCTCCGGCTCGTTCCCCCTCGTTCTCCTCTTGTGTCTCTTCCTGTGTCTCCTGACGTGACACCTCCGTCCCACTTTTGGTCTCGTCGTCCCTCTCGTGCTCGTCCTGTCTCTCCTGTCTAGCTCTCTCACCTATTGTTGCTTCGTTCCCACAGGTCTCGTCCTCCCCTCCTCCCTCGCCTCCTTCGTCGTCGCTTGTTGTCGCTCCGCCTCCTCTGTTTGACTACCTTCGTGCCGCTAGTCCTCTTTTTCCTCGGGTCCTTACCTCCCTCGTTACAAACCCGTCTGTTCCTGTCTCGAGTCTTGACACTCTTGTCGCTGCTGTCACTGACTTCGCCTCTACCGCCGCCTTGACTACGCCACCGCTTTGGTCTCTGACCCCGCCCGTCCTCCGTCCATCAGGGGTGCTCCTGCCCTTAGCAGTGACGTCCTGGAGGACTGGCAATATGAGCTTGATTTCCTATTCGAGGTCACGCCTCATCTCTGCTCCATGCTGCTAGTCCCTGAGAAGGACCCAGATGCCTTCGACATCCTGACCCCTCGCACCTCCGCTGAGGTGACCTCGGGACTGTGGGCCTCTCAGTGGATAGCTGCCATGGACGCAGAGATGGCAACTTGGAGATCCACTGGCACTTACGACGACGCAGTTCCCCACCTGGGGTGAACGTAGTCGATGGTCGGTGGCTCTTCAAGGTGAAGCGCCCTTCTGGAGAGCCGCCTGTGCTCAAGGCGCGCTATGTGGCTAGAGGCTCCAGTCAGCACGAGGGTATGGACTTCTTCCAGACTTTTGCCCCGACCCCAAAGATGACTACTCCACGGGCGCTGCTATACGTAGCAGCACAGCGTGACTACGAGTTGCACTCACTCGACTTCTCGACAGCTTTTCTACAGGGCAGTCTGCACGAGTAGGTCTACCTAAGCCGTCCGCCAGGCATTACCGGCACCGTCGCCCCTGGGACTTAGTGGCTTCTCCGGTGCCCAGTTTACGGCCTGCGGCAGGCACCGCGCGTATGGCACGACATGCTGCGTGCTACATTAGCTGACCTGCAGTTCTTCCCGTCCTCTGCAGACCCTTCGCTTTTCGTTCGTGCTGGCCAGACCCCGTTCTACATCCTAGTCTACGTAAACGACCTGGTCTTTGCTACTGCAGACAGAGACGCACTGACATTCGTGAAGGCCGAGCTGCTGAGGAGACACACCTGCACTGACCTAGGAGAGCTGCGCCGCTACCTTGGCCTGCAGATCTCCAAGGACACAGCAGCCCGCACCATGACTCTCACACAGTCACACTTGGTGCGCCAGATCCTTTAGAGGTTCGGCCTTCAGTTCTCCTCCGCACAGCCCATACCTCTGCCAATAGGTTACAGGCTCTCGACTCCAATCCCTGAGGAGTTTGTAGAGCCTAGTGGTCCTTACGTAGAGCTGGTGGGTTGCCTAATGTACCTGATGACTTGCACTCGTCCAGATCTTGCATACCCTCTCAGCATCCTGGCTCGCTTTGTGGCCACAGCCAGACACCGACCACAGTACTAGTCGGCCGCTAAGAGGGTTTTGCGTTATTTAGCAAGTACATCGTGCATGGGGCTAGTGCTAGGAGGACGCATGCCAGTGGTCCTTACAGGGCACACAAACGCTCCGTGGGTGGACGACGCTGAGACGCTCAGGTCCTCGCAGGGCTACTGTTTTAGCCTTGGTGCAGGGGCCATTTCGTCGAGGCCCACCCGATCATCGTCTGTTGATTAGTCGAGCTGCGAGGCCGAGATGTGCGATGGTGCTATGGCGGCACAGGAGCTCTGCGGGCTGATTTTCTTGCTCTCAGACTAGGCCAAGTTTTTCCACGGTGCTGTACGCCGTCAACAGAGTTTGATGAGATGACAAAGGGAGAACACAGAGTTTGTAACTAGCATATGTACTCACTTTGATATGGACCTAGTTACTTGGTTCCTTATAGGTGCACCTAACAAATATATGAACACTAACAAAAGATTGTTAGGATGTTGAAGCAGGAGTAATTCATCTACTCGGCCGCTGTGCGCAAGAGACCTAACCAGGGTTCCCAGTGGGGTTCAAGGTTTGAATAGCAATGACCTATGAGTTTGTTGCATCTATGCAAACTCCAAAACCCTGGAATAGTTGGAGGTGTAGTCATAAATGTGTACATTTTCTCTACACCTCACCAACATAGAGGCGTTTATCGCACGCCACCTCAAATTTCGCCTACTACTGTAGCCATCAGGGCAGATTCTCGCAGCGTGGGTCGATTTATTTTCTTAGGCTGCAATGTCGAAACCCTTGCTGCTGCTCCTGCTGCTTCCACCCGCTTTTGCCTCCTTGGCTGCAGCCGCCTTCGCCTGCTCCTCGCAGTACTTGGCCACCTGCCTAAACTTGGGCACGCTTTTGAGGTCAATCACGGTCTTGTCCTTGAGGGTGATGGAGATGTCGCCCCACTCGCCTATGAACCGCGGGGCTGACCGCACCTCTGATACCAGCTGTAGGTGGGGATGCAAGGGAGGGAGGACGAGAGGGAGTACGGGGATTTAGGAACACTCTTGAGGTCAATGACGGTCTTGTCCTTAGGGGTGATGGAGAGGGTGATGGATAAATCAAGGGGTAGATCACACCTCTGATACAGCTGCACAGTGGAAAGGGGGGAGAGAGAGTTGGAGATGAGGGAAATGAGCTGGAAGGGACAATCGCTCTCAAGGCCAAATAACGACGGTCTTGTCGTTGAGGGTTACAGATGGAGATGCTGCCCCAGTCGCCAATGAAGCGAGGAGCCGATCGAAGCTCTGCGACCAGCTATAGGATAAGGAAAGGGCGCGAGGACTTTCCTACAACAGTAGTTTGAGAGCGAAACCGAAGAAACGGTGACTCAGTGGTTGGTGAAACGACAGCACACGGTGAGCATGCAAAAGACGGACGCGAGGGTGAGCCATACTTTGACTTCAGGGTGTGCCTCTTACCGAGTACGGGTATTCCAGTCGTTCCGTCTCGTCCAGCTCCGACGTAACCATGAGTCAGCGGGTGGTGAAGCAGTAACGCGAGAGTCAGAAAACCCTCACCTAGTACATGCAATTGAGTTGCTTCTTACCGAGTACGGATATTCCAGTCTCTCCTTCTCATCCAGCTCCGACAGCACGGTGAATCGGCGGTTGGTGAAGCGGTAGCGCAGAGTCAACACGCGGAAGACGGAGGCGAGCGTGAGCGGCAGCCACACGCCCGTTAGGCCAAGCACGAGGTTGAGCGCGAGGTCGCCGATGTGCGGGCCGCTGTCGAAGAACACCTCCTGGTGTTGCAGGGGTGATGGGGGGAAAGAGGAGGGGAAAGGGGGAAGAAGGGCGAGGCGAGGGTGAGCGGCAGCCACACGCCCGTGAGGCCCAGCATGAGGTTGCGCGCGAGGTCGCCAATGTGCGGGCCGCTGTCGAAAAACATCTCCTGGTGAGGATGGAGAAAGGGAGATGGGATGGGAAGACACGCACTCGAGCGAGAGAGCAGGTGTAGCGCGCGGTCGCGGATATGAGGGCCGCTGGAGAAAAAGATCTCCTGGCGTTGCGGAGGTAAGAGAATAATGGAAAGGGCCGTGGGGGAGAGGGGAGCCGCTCGCAGACAGGCGGAACAGCAGCTTAGATGGCGGCAGTGAGGCATGTATGCCATGGGCGGGTGGGCTGCTGTCCAAGGGGAAGCGTCGGTTGCGGTCGCATTTGAGAATTCTCAAGAAGCAGGCCGATTTGAAGCTTGGGAGGAGGCTCAGAGGCACGTATCCCATGGGTGGGTGGGCGGGCTGCTGTGTGGAAGTGGAAATGTCGGCTGCTGTCCCCTTTCCTCCCTTCCACCCGCCCTCCACTCTCTCCTCCTCTTTCCCTAACAGCGCCTTATCGCTTTGGTATTTGCTTCGTCATTCGCTTTAATATTCTGGTAAGGTGCCAGCCAGGCCCTCTCGAACCTTCTCGCCCATGCACCGCCCTTGCGTTCGTTAAAATGCAAATTAATCATTCACAACCAATGCAGACCATTCGTTCGCTCTCTGTAAAGCCATGCGGTGAATGACGTGCCATGCGATGGTAGAGGAAGAGAGGTAATGGCGATAGTAGTGGTGCCGGTCAGACGGCGATGAGCTGTCAGAGGCCAATGAGACACGTACCTCCGAGCTGGATGACGTGGCCGCGGCGACACTCCGCGTGGAAGCGGCTGCTGCTGACGTGGACGAGTGTAGCCGGAGAGAGGAGGACGAGAGCTGTGATCTTCCCCCCGTGAAAGCCGCTGTCGTCACCGACTTTCGAGCGGATAGAGGCGCGAACGGCTTAGACGAGGCGCCATTCGAGTCTGCCCTTCGCGATGCAGACGCGCAACTGGCGGCGGCTGCGACGGCGGCGGAGTGCCGAGCGAGAAGAGCAGACATGGCTGGTATCTGTCTTAAGCAGCAGGACGCAGCACGACAGGTCAGGAGCGTAGAAAACAGGCGAGAAAGGAATGGTAATAGCCTCTGACACCGTTATCCGAATCCTAACCTTGTCTACGTCCCAGCAGGCCGCCGCGTTGTTAAGCAAAAGCCAAGGAAAAAGTCGATGTTTTTCTATGATTCAGAGACGTTCAGGTGGGATAATTTAGCTTTCTGGCAACCCAAGGTAATGGTGAAATTCAAGACAGCTTTAGGAAAGGGAATGGTGTGAGCGGTGGGTTTTCCAATTGAGAGGTGGGGGAGGCTTAATTGCGCGGCTCGAAGAAACCGCGTCCTCAATTAACATTTTCTACCCATTTTGCTCACGATCCGGGCAACCCCGAACTCGGATAAACATTTTCTACGCGCGAGTCGGGAAATGTGAAAGTTATGGAATTTGAAATTGTGTGAACTGTATTTGGGATTTAGTGGTTGCCCGTGAATTACTAGCTGGGTCAACCTCGCAAGGTTTCGTCCATCCCCACGCGCAGATGTATGAAATCTCGTTAGGTTTAGTGGAGCTTGTCCAAGAAAACGTTGTCGTTAAAAAACCCCCTTCTCTTAACACTTTAGGGCTTTCGCATTTGAATGTATGTGCTTAAAGCCGTTGACCCGAAACGTGCAAGATTAATAAACATGATAGGGGCAAAAAGTTGGACACGGCAGCGCGCAGGGGCGTAGGGCAGTTGTACGAGGTGGCGAGTGGTTTTCGCCAACGAGCGAGCGTCGCAACACTATGCGCGACAAAAACACTCTTGACGAAACCTCAGGAACCAATCAGGGCGCAAAAAAACCGAGCACGCAAAACACCGCCAATATAAAAGGACAAAGGGGGAGGGTGGGACGGAAAAGGGAAAGGAGGGGCGCGCTAGGCGCGGGAAGTTGGTTGGGGGGGTGGGGGGGAAGAAAGGAGAGAGTGGGAGTGTGGGTGGGGTGATGAACAGCGAACAACAGGAAGGCATACGTAAGGACGTGGTGCTTTTGGCGAGATTTGGGCTGTGCAACTTGACCCTGCTGCGCAACTCGTGTGGGTAACTTGACTTGGCAATTTTTGCCAAACAACTTTGGGGTGGGGTGGCGCACGAATATGAACTGTTGTAAAGAACATTGGTGTTTTCACGCTGTTCGCACGAAAAATGCAAATCGAAATACGAAATTAGATTTGGAGCGGGGAATCTAGTAACAAACAATTCGCTATCGTTTCAGGCACTTCGCAAACTGTGATTCCTGCGCTGCGTAACTTGACCCAGTTTTTGCAGAAGTATCACGCCCTTAAGCGTGGAGGCGCTGGGCTGGGTTGCACTTCAAAAGTCCCAAAAAAAAAGAGCACATGTTTCAAGTTTCTTTACGCTCAAACGCCTGATGTATCAGGGGCAGGGGCGGAATTGGCTGAGGATGGCGCACACCTATCACATGTTTCCCGTCTTTTTGGTGCGCGATCTTAGTTTTCCCTCTCGTTTTGCGGAACCGGATTACTAGAAGGGCAGTTTCAATATTAATAAACTCGAAATAAAATTTCTGCAATTTGGGTCAACGGCTTAAAAAAAAACCAAACGCAGCTTGGAGTTCGCGGAATGTCATTGTTTTGGTGGAGCTCACATCTCACTGCGTTTTGCAAGAAAACATATATAGGACGGGATCCTATGAATTTCTGCCGATAGTAAAAAAACTTTGGCACGTTTTGAGAAACTGTTTTGGCTGGCACTGTGGAATCTGGGCAGATGCAAACGAGTTTTACGCGGGAGAACACGAGAGTCCGTGGATTCTCATGAAAACTCATGCCCCTAAGCTCAACTTGCGCCACTAGCTAAATACCACTCGTAACAGGATAGCCTTGTCATCATTTCGGGCCATCATTTTGGGCAAGGGAAACATGAGAGTTCGTAGAAAGAAACGCGGTTAATCAAAAACGCATTTCCCGACTCGCGCGTAGAAAATATTTATCCGAGTTCGGGGTTGCCCGTGCCGTGAGCAAAACGAGTAAAACTTTTTAATTGAGGACGCAGTCTCATTGAGCCGCGAAAATCTGCCGGTAGGGGAGTTGGCTGGTTCGGCGTCGCGAGGTTCGGACGAGTGCTATGGATGAGGTGGCAGATGTTCTCTAGCAACGTCCACGTAGTCAAGCTCGAGTGTTGACTGGTGACGCGAAGCTACCAGAGATCCGCCAAGGTGGATTGAACGCGTGGAGCTTCTGTAGCCGAACCTGACATATGACCCGGGCATCTGACGTGTCATTCAGCTACCCCTTAGCCCCTCGTGGGTTGAAGGCCCAGGAGACTGACGAGGCAGCAACAGAAATTTCCGAAAGAGCTGACGTGGTATCGCGGGCAAAGAGGAAATTGTCCAGGACGCAAAAAGCAGGCTTTGAACCTGACGTGAATCGAACACGCAACCTTCTGATCTGGAGTCAGACGCGCTACCATTGCGCCACAGATCCGTGACTCTTTGCGAACTCATAAATAATCGGGCTTATTTTACAATTTCGGTGACTTGGCATGCGTTCGATGGGGTGCTGTTGGATTATGACGTCAGGCGCGCATCACCTCCAGCGCAACCAAGCTCCGCCAAACCCCATGCCACCGCTGGTGTGGCTTCTCTCCACCTTCATCCCATTTAGGTCGTGCGTGTCAGAAAGCCACATAAACTGCTGAAGTTTCGTCTACTCGTCACATTACGTTTCTTGATCAACTGAACACGCTCAGCGCGTCTTTAGCGACCCTACTCGCCTTTCAGGTCCAATTACCTCGTGTCCAGCGGATATCGTAGAACCAGTTATTAGAGTGCAGAATCCCGAACAGGTAGCTCTCCACAACCGCCAGCCACTGATGTCTCAGAATACCGATTGGCTGCATCCGAGCAGCTTCAGGATGCACACGTCAGCCCTCTCCCGAGTAGTTCCCCTGACAATCCCTGAGGACAGTCCCCTGCGCCCAGACGACGACGAACCAAGGCAGCCGGATACGGAATCCGGGGAAGACCGAACTCCGAGTCAGCGTCAAGGAGGAGCGGATGATGCGGACGTGGGAAGTTTGTCGAGCGTGTTCGGCCGTGCTCCGCTCACTAGGTGCCTGGCCATGCGTCGAGGCGCCTATGCGAACTGGGTCGTTCGCACGATAGTCACGCCAGATGGCGTTCGGGAGGTGTTTGGCCCGCCATAGCTGGCTGTCCTCATGGTTCCTATGCGGAAATATCGCCATTAGGTTATGCGTTTATGGGCTTCCGCAGTCTCGTTTTACAAGGCTGTAGGGAGTAGATGGTTTGATAGGTGTGTATCGTGGGCTGGAGTCATCACCCTAGGTGTGTTTGTACGACGTCTGTTTACCGTTTTTTTTTATGGGATTCCTCGGATCTTTATTCCTCCAGTACTCCTTGCCGTACCTTGGCCGTCGCATTTTGCTCAGATTGGACTTGGGTTACCATTCCCACCCGCGTCCCTCCCTCCAGCCCCTCCCTCCTTTCCCCACGCCCTTCTGTGTGCCCCCCTCCCCTCTATCCTCTCTCTCTCTCTCTCTCTCTCTCTCTCTCTCTCCCTGCTTCCCCTCCCCCTCACTCCCTCTCTATGCCTGAGGGACCTACCACCTACCGGTACCGTCTCATTTGCATTTCTTGTTCTCCTGATTGCTCCCTCCCCCCCACTACCCCTTTCTAGTATCTCACATGTGATACTTCCGCTAGATTCTAGGCCAACCCGTGAAGGTACTTGCAGATGCTGAGTGAGTCATTTACTACCGGTACTTGAGATATGAAATGCTGTGTCGCATGCACTGCACGATTGCAAAGCACACTCTGCAAGTTGTGTTACAATCTTGCCAGCGGTTACCCAGTGTCTTGTCATGTCGGAGAGAGGACCTAGCAACTCAAGGCCCCACCAGAGATTCAAGCAAGGCCCTACCAGCACCTCAAGGCCCCACCAGCAACTCAAGGCCCCACTAGCGATTCAAATGCCCACCAGTGAAAGGCCCCATCACTGACCCAATGCCTCGTGTGTGGTACTGACCCGTGTGAACCATACAAAGCTACACATGTCCAGTACTGGCAGACACACACACATAGTGGTACCATTTGAGCTGGCAGTCACTACAGTCCTGCAAGAGCACGCTACAGCCATCCCCAACGTCTGCCCAAGTCACTGAATCCTAACTAACTAGCCCTCCGCCTCCGCCCTCGCCCAGGGAGTGACTAGTAGCCAGCTACTGGCAGGGCAAGCAGGGCCAGCAGACAGGTGATGGGAAAGAGAGAGCAGAGGGAAAGGTCACTGAAAGGACCTTTGAGGTGCCCACAATAAGCCCTTTCTGCACCCTCTTAGGCCAAGGCAGTAGCCAGCAGGAGGAGTAGGGAGGAAGTCAAGGGGATAATTTTTAGGTGCCTCAAAAATCGGCTCTTACGCCAAGGCAATGACCAGCAGCAGGAGCAGGCAGGAGGCCAAGGGGGAGAGAGCAGAGGCGGAAAGGCTGCTGCTGCTGGGCTTGTTGGGGGAATCAGAGGGGGAGGCAGTGGGGGATGTGGGCGGCGAGGGGGAAGGGGAGGAAGATGTGGGGGGAGAGGGGCTGCCAGCGGTGATGTTGGATGGGGGAGGGATGGGAGAGGAGGCGGGTGCAGAGGACGGGGAGGTGGAGGAGGGGAGAGCGGAGGAGGGGGAGCGGAGGAGGGGGAGCAGAGGAGGGGGGAGCAGAGGAGGGGAAATGGAGGGGGGAGCGGAGGAGGGGGGAGCGGAGGAGGGGGGAGCGGAGGAGGGGGGAGCGGAGGAGTGGGGAGCAGAGGAGGGGGGAGCGGAAGAGGGAGCGGCAGCCGGTGTGGGTGGTCCTGTAATAAGGGCGAATGAACAGAGGAGTGGAGGAGAGAGGTAGGTAGGGCAGAGAGGGGAGGGCAGAGAGGGGAGGGCAGAGAGGGGAGGGCAGAGAGGGGAGGGAAGTGAGATGCGATGTTGAGACAAGGCGGAATGAGAGTGGGGAAGGCGCATGGCATGGCATGGCATGGCATGGCATGGCATGGTATGGCATGGCATGGCATGGCACGGCATGGCATGGCATGGTATGGCATGGTATGGCATGGCATGGCATGGTATGGCATGGTACGGCATGGCATGGCTTGGCAAGGGATGGCAAGGGATGGCATGGCATGACACGGCACGGCATGGCATGGCATGGCCCGGCACGGCATGGTGTGAACAGAGGC